AACATATGTTTCATATGTTTGTTGTTGTTTGATTTATCATCTACGGGTTTATGTCGAATTAATTTGATGGCCTGCTCCCAGTTGACTTGTTAGCTCAATTGGTAGAGCGCTGCACTAGTATCGCAGAGGTCAGTGGTTCGAATCCCGTACAGGCCTGAAATTTTTTTCAGGTCTGATTTTCACTATTGCTCAAATAGTGCTTTACTGCGAAGGATCGTGCACATATACATGTGCTCTATTGCTCGAAATTTCCTCAATCCTACTCTGTAGTTATATTTTATTCATATATAAATGATAAATCAGTTATGACACGCATTTTGTGGCGGCATTTTCAACCTTGGAAGCTTCTTAGCCTCTAGTAATAATACTGAACTATTAAATCTGATGCCAAACGGTGGCATATGAAATCCAATAAAACAAAACAACATTAATAGCAATCCTCGGTCGTTTGGGCTTTCCCGGAAATTCCTCAATGAAATGTTGCTTTAATCATTTCGATTATAAATTAAAGGCCTTGCCAAACGAAGAGACATGTCTAGAAACTTAATGTCTCCATGTCGCGCGGAGACACAAAATGTAAGAATTCTTCTCGAAAAGTACCCGCGAAGGTAAAAAGTATTCGAAAGAAATACCATTACCAGTACTATTTGACCTTCAGAGCTACTACTAGAGCTTGTCCGATCTGAACGGCTGTAATTGGTCAGATTCTAGTAGCCTCCAAATAAATAAACCTTCATTGCGTTCAATCTTGTTTTTCCCGCTGATCGACTGCCAGTCGATCAGTAGGAAACCAGTTTGCCGATCATCGAAACCGAAGCCCAAAATGCTTGTTAGACCGAATGTCACGTTATTTACATTTCATAAAAACTATATAACCGAAAAACATACCATCCATTCTAGCATCGGGTTAGAAAGAGATGGAAACTGTAGATCGCAGGCTTTGGATCTAGTTTGTCTTCTTGAGAGCTCTTGAAGTTCTTGAGCATCCACCCTGACTCCTGTGAAGCTACGTGACGTAATTTGGCATCAAGTAGCACAGTTGGCTGTAAGATGCTGGGACTGGTTGAACCGCCCTAGCTTTGCACCTATTGTTCTATTTTGGAGGTGTCAGCCCCATTATTAGCTATTATTTGGTGCAAAACAACGTATCCCATTAATAAAAGAGAGATTCCAACTTGCGGAAAATTTATGAAGTACTCGAAGTGCTCGTTGCTAGCCATCTGTAGTTTTCTAAAGTGCTCGCTGCTCGCCATCTGTAGTTTTCCAAAGTGCTCGCTGCTTGCAAGAAAAATTTGACAACTGTTTGTGGTCGCAAAAATAAACATACTGCTCGCCTGCTCACAAATGCTCGGAAAGACCATTCGATATCCATAAAAGAGATATTGAAAATTCAGTCGAAATTCACTGCCGTAGCCGAAGGCTGAGGAAGATAACATTGGTTTTGATCCACGATATCATGCGAAAGCCGAACTCAATAATTGTTTTATTTTACATTTCTCAAAAAATTTGCAAAAGAACGTGTCGAGCTCTTTGTCATCAAGACTTTAAGTCTTTTATTTTCAGCTCCTCGTACTGCTGCAAAAGTTCAGCATTTTTTCGAAGAACAATTTGTTCGAAGTGTTCTGGGATCATCTAAATTAAAACTTCACACTCGTACGGCTTTTGAAAATTGGCGTTTTCTGAAATTACAATTTTGTTTTCAATCTTCGCCAAACCTTGCCTTTTCAAATCAATACACTTTTTCATTATTTGTTCGCCTCAGCGATTTCTGGGTCTTTGAAAATGTCAGTTCCTTTTGTCTTTAAGTGCCTTTTGAGTCTCAAACCTATTTTTGGTGCCCAAAGCTAGATAAAAAAAGAACCATCGAGACATATTACATTTCTTTCCAAAAGAAGCTTGCTTATCATAATGAAATAACACAGCAAGGCACTGAGGCTGAGAAGACAAGCGATCAAGAGCTATGCTCATTCTTTCTGCAACAAAATAAGTAACTGACCTTTGATTTCCTTTTATCAAAAGTGAAAGCTGCCTTTACAAATGGATTCGCAATTTTTGACAAATTTTATCAGATCACGGAACGGATCAGATCGAGTAATTAAAGCCATGATGACTGTGTTACGATGCGCTTGTTGCTTTCCAAACCTTGTTTATCTCTTATCGTTTTCCTTTTTTTTCAGCAGGTACCAGTCAGCAGGAAGGGAACCCCCACAATGGTAAGAATTACAGGATTAACAATCTTTGAAAAATGGATCAGATCACGGATCGGATTAGATCGAATAAACAAAGCCATGATTACTGTGTCGCTTATCGCAATGAAATAACCCAGCGAGGCAAGCTGAGAAGACGAGCAAACAACAGCTATTCTAATTCTTTCCTGGACACCTTCTGCAACAAAATAAATATTTGGCCCTTGATTTCCTTTCATTAAAAATGAAAACTGTCTTAAAAAATGGATGCGCAATTTTTGATAAAATTGATCAGATTACCGAACGGATCAGATCGAATAAATGAAGCCATGATGACTGTGTTACGATGAGCTTGCTGCTTTCCAAACCTTGTTTATCTGTTGTTGCTTTTGTTTTTTTTAGTGGGTACCTGTCAGCAGCATGAGGACCCAAATAAAGGTAAGATTTACAGGATTCACAATCTTTGACAAAATGGATCAGATCACGGATCGGATCAGATTGAATAAATGAAGCCATGATGACTGTGACGCTTATCGCAATGAAATAACTTACCCCATAGCATTATATAAATTTCGCTCCAGGGAGCCCTCGCTGCCATCTAGCTTCCATCTAAGGCAGTTGTCATGCAGACTTTGAGAAATTTTGCTTTTGATCTTCAATATCAAGAGGCAAAAGTTTGATTCATCATTACAGTAATATGTAATCAAAGTTTCCGTATTGTTACCGAGGTATCTAAAAGAACACCCAGAGTGAGAAAGCTACAAGAGGTTACCAATGTTGGTATTGTAGGGTGAAAGTACTGCCGGATGACTATTGCAATGTGACTCAATAATGCATCGTTTCATTTTCGCTGACTAAAATGCAACGCACAGACCATGGTTTCAGACGAATTCTGTTAGGTTCGATAAAAGATCTCAAATAAAAAGTAAAGTCTACATGTTTTGCAGCTAGTGCGCAGAAACTAGACACCTTACAAGAGTGGTAAGGGAATAAGATTCAGTGGGTGCCTCGTATAGGACTACAAATGACATAGTGCTCTTAAATGCTTTTTGAGAAGTTTATCGTACGTGACAGGCTCCATGGTGTAAGCGATCATCTCGCAACACAAATATGACAAGAATGCGTAACTAGTGACGTAGCGTAGCCACCTCCATATTATTCTTAAAATCTGTAGTGATGAGTAGAAAATTTCTATTTGGTGAGCGAAACTCCTTGAATAAACAGAGGAACATTCGGGACCAATTGAATTCGAAAAAAATCAAAAAGAGAAAGCTTGTCGTCGTAGAAAACCGTGCGCATGGGTTTTGTAGATTGTCGTCTTAAGAAAGGCCAGAGGTAGCGTAGTATTAACCAGTCTATCATAGTTAGGTTTTTGATGTAGAATAGACTTCCCATCACACACGCTCACACTTCACGTTTATAATTGACCTTTTAAACTTTGTGCATCGTCACTTTATTTTAAATCGACACGAAGCCAGTGTACGAGTCAACAGGTTTTACGACTTTATTCCTTGCACTAAGGTCCACCATTCAGCTATTGAAAACACTGTATAATTTGTATTTTCCTTTAATGCTCAAGATTCTTAGTGTTCATTTGGTCTCCATTTCATTTTGTTTATCTGATATAGTGACGCCCCAAACATGATCCGAATGTCGTCGCAAATTGGGTTGTTACAAAAGCGAAGACCCCGAAAACGACATCTAAGACCCCTACGAAAACGAAGAGCCACTACGAAAACAAAAACCCTTTACGAAGACGAAGAATTTCCGGGCGCACTCTTTTCTGCTAATCGATACAAAATAACAGATTGTTCTGTTATCTTTACCACCTGCGCTTAAAACGTCACGCAACGCAACTAACGAGCTGCAATTTCCGGGCGCACTCTTTTCTGCTAATCGATACAAAATAACAGATTGTTCTGTTATCTTTACCACCTGCGCTTAAAACGTCACGCAACGCAACTAACGAGCTGCAATTTCCGGGCGCACTCTTTTGACCCCTAAGAAAAGGAAGACGCCCGACGAAAACCAGGCGGTGTGCACACTCCGATTGCATATTTTCAATATGGCGGTAAAAGCGGCAGAAATCGGCAGATTTTGACTAAACATTCCGTAAAAGTTAGGACGTTTCTTTTACCTTTCACTATAGGTACATATAACTTAAAATATATTCTGAATGTGTCGAAGTACGAAAAATCGTACGTATTTTTCGCGTATTCTATAATTCTCAAGGACAAATGTAAGCACTGTTTCTTAGATGTGATTTGAGACCGGTTTTCGATAAGGTCAAATTCGTTTTACGTTGTAGTTTGAAGCCTTTCAAAGATTTGTATGGCCACTTTGATCCTTCTTCAACAGCTCTGACCAAACGCGCTCAAACGCGCTCCAAAGGTACAAATGTTTTATGCATTCTAAGTTATAGTGTTTGAGACCCTTTTATGGAGCGAAAAGGCCCATTTTTGCGTTAAGTGTGTTGCGTTGCATAGCGTTACTACTGCAAGGAAATTTATTACATGTACTCAATCGTGTTGTATATCTACTTTCCTGTTGTTTATTTCACAGAAAGATTTGCTTGAGTCGAAAACTCGACTAACCAGTAAAGGAGAGGTTTTCTGCAAACAGAAACCACGCTTAAAACAAACGAAATTACAACATAAACAACAGAAATGAAAACTCGCCGACTGTTCGAGCTTAGGGTTTACAAACAACGACAATACACGGCAACAAAACATTTTTTAAATGAACGCGACGATTTTCCCTTTCAAAGCACATGGGCGATTGCCCGGATGTTTACGTAAACATAGGCCCGCAATGGGAGCTACATTTCCTAAGTGAAGGAAAATTAACTAATCGCGAGTGTTGTGTGGTAAATCTTCTATCTTGATTAGTGAATAAAGGACAGTTTAATTAGAGCAATGAAAAGAGTCACTTGATCCATGAAAACCCCTACCTTGTGTGAGGCGACACGCTGGAAAGCCGGAAAGCAAAAGGTGTTGACGGGCCTGTACGTCTCCTGCCATTCACTAGCGCATTTAAATCTTCTACCCACAGAGTTTAGCTCTTGTTAGGATATCTCTTGATGACTCTCCTTAGCGATGTGATAATTAGGGTCAGTTTTGAGGTGTCATTTCCCCATCTGTAGGTTCTTGAGGTTTGGCAAAGCCGGATGAGATTGTGTTACAAGAGGTAATATTTTGAACTCGTAAATTGCGCTCATGCGCAAGAGTGAGTTGTGGGTATGATGTGATGAATGGCGCTCGCTCGCTCGCTCGATTGGTCGCTTCCTGTAAACGTTTTTCTATTTTAGGCTTTTGAATGCATTTGATAGTTTTTTGCGGGTGATAAACAAACGAAATGGCGACCTTTGTTGCTAAGAATAGTGTTGGTTTGAAAAAGAAGCCAATGATGATCTTGAAAGAGTAAAAAAGTATACGTTTTCCATTTGTGAATTAAAGTTTGCCCAATCTCCGAATACACTTTTATCTCGTGCAGCGTATATTTCATTTATGGCGTTAATACTTCTATTTTTGATTGTATATATCCAGGAAAATGATTAATGTGTCTGAAAAAGAAAACAAAGAAAACAAAGAAAGGGAGTTCAGCAAAACGTAAAACTTATTTGAGTGCGGTGGATTTTAACTACCTACGTTGCTTATCTTAGAGAGATGTCTACAGCGTTACTTTTTACGGAAAGCCACTCGAGCCACCATGCTTAACTTTTATGAAACTTTACCTAAATATTACTTTGACATTTAAAACGCTGATCTTTTGGTTATTACAACCGCGGACTCAAACGACTCGAGTCGCTGCGCGCCGAAAGTCCGATAATGGAGTGTCGCTCAAGGCCAACTGCTCGTAAAGTGACTAGTTAAGGCTTGTTTGGTGTTCCTGGAACTATATCGACGTTACGTTGGAAAGTGGTTCATAAAGTTTGAGTCCACCAACAGCTTGGTGAATTTTTCTGGACTAGAGTCATTCATTGTTGTGAGGAAAAGCCTTCGTGTCATTGCCCTGGTAAGCATTTACAGTTTGTGGCCTAAACGATAAAAGGCTTTATTATGGATATCCTCTATCATTGTTCATCTTTTTCTGAGAAAAAATAATGGAATTGATAGATCGCCCGTACTTGGGCTGTCCTCGGCAACTGCTCGTTAAGTCACCTGACGGATTGGGTAGAAATGTTTGCGTTGACTAATTTGTAAACTATGGAGGGTTACCATGCAGTGGGAGCGTTCGTGAGCGGAAGTGTTTGTAATCAGTCCCGGGTATATTCAGGGACAGCAAAATCAGTAAAACTGTCGTCGTCGTCTAGTCAGGCTTACTCTGAAGGCGATGACAAAAACCAAGCTTGTTTTCAGTGCGTCGATTTCCCCGCTCGCTCGGGTTACGCCATAACTATGGAAAGTGAGAAAGCCACATACAAACAAATCAGAGCCAAATATGAGTAAATCAAAGCAAAGTACAAGCAAACGAAAGCCAAGTACGCGTAAATAAAAGCCAAATATGAGCAAATAAAAGCCAAATATGAGCAGGTAAATGCCAAATGTGAGCAGGTAAGGAGCCGACCATTTGACCTTTGAGGAGGGGGGTGGGTGATTTCTGGTCATCAAGAAATTCTTTTTCTAGCAATCTGCTGGGCAGGATGTCTTTTTCCGTTCTAAATGCTCTTTTTCTTCTGTTATATTTGGGCTGCATTCAATTTTTTTCTTCCAACAAGCTCTTGCAGGAAATTATTTTTCAAAATCACTCCCCCCCCCTCAAGAGTTAAGTGGTCAGCCCCAAAATGCCAAATTTGAACAAACCTCCAAATCTGCCAACCAGACGTGTGAGTGTAACTCTTCAGCGGTAACTGACTAGCGTGCCAAAGGTAAAACCAAATTTAACGACTAGGAAACTTAGCTGAAAATGCCAACTTATAATTCAGTTGAATATCAGGATATCGGGGTTCATTAATTCATGAAGTTATGAAAAGCAGAATGTCAAGGACCACGGTTGACGTTTGTACATGTGCACTGAGGTTGTATTGTAGAAGGACACGTGAAAGGGAACCGTCCAGAATTCCATATAGGAGAGTCATCAAACTGTTCAGAAAAACGAAAGTTTCTGGAAATGCGGCTAAATTATACTTTAAGAAAAGCATTCCAAGTTCACTACTAAAACTTTTTCTGTCTGAGCGTAATCGTAGTTATTTAAGTGAAAGGTTAGTCAGATCTAAATCTGTATTACCCTCAAGAAAGTTCTCTCTCAGCCAAAATGTGTACGTATCTGTTGTGCGACTGAGAAAGTTAAAGCATAAGAAGTCGCCCTCATTTTGCATGCGCGTTGACGGGAGAACGTTAAAGAAATTAAAACACTGTCCGGTCGAAACTTATTGTGTATGTCACAGAGTCAAGTCTCTTAGTGGCGATGTTGAAGAGAATCCAGGGCCTTTAAATCAA